ATGAGGATGATGGTGATGGTGATGCATGATGAGTTGAAGATGATATATCGTGATGATGATGCAAGATGATGATACATGATGATGATACATGATGATGATACATGATGATGATACTACATAATGATGATGATGATTTTGATGCATGATGGTATTGGGTCACTGACATCACTGGCTGATAATTTTGATAATGAATATTTTGTTTGCAGAGAATGGCCATATGGGTGGAGTGTTACTCGGCATTGTTACATCCAGAGACATAGATTTCCTTCTTGATATTGACCATAGCAAGCCACTGAAAGAGGTATCTTAGCATACACCACACTAGACTATGTCACTTAACATTACTTTACAGTCTACATCATGCACTATAGCATGCACAATGCTGCGCAACATACCCATACCACAGTATTCGCACCACATTCCAATTTACCATCTTATGACACATCATGATACTGTGTGCTACGAATGCAAAATCTCAAAGTTCCATCCCCATCATACCTAGCTATACTATAACCCATACCATAGCGTAGCACATCCTATCATAAACAGCCACAAGCCCAATTTTAATCCCTATGTTACCATGGTAATAACCACAGAATGACAAGCAAGTTAATGTGATCAACGCCTTTCAACGCGTTTCAATATGAAGCTGTCTTTCCAGTTAGGCGTCCTGCTGGCCATAAAACAAAAGCTTCACACTTCTCCCATTAATCCCCAGAAATATTCTAATAATGCAGATCTGAATGTGCCCAAACGCAATAAAATCGGGCTTGCAATTTGTTATGATTCTGCCTTATCATACCATGCCATCTATAACATAACATACCACTCCCTACCACCCATTCCCTGCATACCATTCCTTACCTTACTATACCATAAACCATACCATACCATAGCATAGCACACCCTATCCTGCCCTACCATACCATACCATCTATACCAAACCACTCCCTACCACCCATGCCCTACATACCATACTTTACCTTACTATACCATAAACCATACCATAACATAGCATAGCACACCCTATCCTACCCTACCATACCATGCCATCTATACCAAACCACTCCCTACCACCCATACCCTGCATACCAAATCTTACCTTACTATACCCTAAACCATACCATAACATAGAATAGCACACCCTATCCTGCCCTACCATACCATACCATCTATACCAAACCACTCCCTACCACCCATACCCTGCATACCATACCTTACCTTACTATATCCTAAACCATACCATAACATAGAATAGCACACCCTATCCTGACCTACCATACCATACCATCTATACCAAACCACTCCCCACCACCCATACCCTGCATACCAAATCTTACCAACCTAAAGTACTGTTTTTTCTCAAGCCTTTTGTAAGCCATGAAGCTAGAATCAATCCTCATAATTTGCTACGTTTTTACATCCTAGGTCATGACTCCTGTAGAAGACCTAATTGTGGCTAAATCAGGCATTACTCTAATAGAAGCTAACCAAATTTTGCAGCGCAGTAAGAAAGGTACCCATATTAAGGCCAGTGTATTTGGATGCCAAGAAAAAAATAATGGGATCCCTGTGTTGTAAAACACAGGTAGCCCAAGTTTTAGTGATATTGATGTCAGTAAAATATTAGTAATAGGTCGATATGGTTTGCTTGTAGGAAAACTACCAATCATCAATGAAAAGGGAGAACTGGTGTCTCTCATAGCAAGGACTGATTTAAAGAAGAACAGAGACTATCCACTGGCTTCAAAAGATAAGAACAAGCAGTTATTAGGTGCATACTGCATACTTTGTTTTGTCTTTAATGGGGAGAGTACGATGAGTAGGAGGGAGGATCGAATGGACAAAGTCAGTTAAAAGAAAGAAATACTGTACAAATCAGGCATTTTGGTCTAGCTTGGGTACTTCATATGCTGTTGTTTGTACCCAGTTAGACCAGAATATATCCTGTTTATCAAGACCTATTGTGAGGATATAATATATTGTGCCTAAAAGGCACATAGACCTTAGCTGAGATAGCAAACATGGTGCATTGTTGGCTAGCTTGAGTACAAACATCTTATGTTGACCATACTTTATTTAGTGTTGTGTGCACCCCATCTAGACCAGAAYGCATTATGTTTATTAAGATTTATTGTGACATTATAGTATAGCTTGGTTTCAATCTAAGATATCTTTGATTGGTTACTTAATAGTGGGTGCAGCCATCGGCACAAGAGAAGAAGACAAACTACGGCTGGATGCACTTGTCAAGGCTGGTGTCGATGTGGTTGTAATAGATTCATCTCAGGGGAATTCCATATTTCAACTGGAGATGATAAGGTACTTGTAAAAAATAAGTTTTTATGTAAGTTGGTTTAGCATCGGACTGTTGTGTGGGATATTGTGGGTTCAGTTCCCCCAATAGAAAACACTCAGGGTCTTAGAATAACTCAGTGCCTTCACTCCATACTTTGAGTGTACACATAGAAAGAGCTCTATATAAATCATATGTAATAATCATAATCATGAATTATTTTTTAGACATATCAGAGAACGTTATCCTGACCTTCAGGTGGTTGGAGGCAATGTTGTCACAGCTGCACAGGCTAAAAACCTTATTGATTCTGGTGTTGATGCTCTGCGTGTCGGCATGGGAAGTGGCTCTATTTGTATTACTCAAGAAGTCATGGCAGTAGGAAGACCACAGGGTACAGCTGTATACAAGGTGGCAGAGTATGCTAGAAGATTTGGGGTGCCTGTGATTGCTGATGGGGGTATACAGACTGTCGGTCATATAACCAAAGCTCTGGCACTTGGTGCTTCTACAGGTGATTTGATAGAAGGATGATATGATGATGATACATGAAGATGATAAATGATGATGATACATGATGATGATACATGATGATGATACATGATGATGAT